CTTGCCCTTACCAGGCAGGCTCGGTGCTGCTGAGCTACATCGCTGGCCCACTATCAGTAATTTTCTGAGAAATGTTTTGTTGTTGAATTTTTATTTAATTTCAAAGTTATTTTTGTGAATTTCAAAATATTATAAGACATTTAAATAAGACTATGTTATTTTACAGTTATTTTTCAAAAGCAAAGGAATAGTAAGTGAAGAAGCCTATATCCTCTTTGTAAGAAAGAATGCTATTGTGGTGTTAATTCCAAAGTATGGTTTAGAAGGGACAGTTTCTTTTGAAGAAAAGGACAAACCAAAACCACAACTTGTTTATGATGATGAGGTACAGTATTTCTAATGTTTTATTTTCTTGGGATGGGAGAATTGTCTTTGACAGTTCACAAATGGTAATTATACTGTGTAAAGTTACTTTCTCTAAAGAATTGAGTCTCCAAATACATGCCAGATTATCCACATGTAACTGTGCCAGCTAAACTATGGTTTTACTCTCAAAATTTCTCACCTCATTATATCTTCCCATATACAAATGTTGTCCTTCATTTCTTTCTTTTAGGGTATGTAAAGTTTTACTCTTAAGTGGACAGATAAAATAGAGGAATAATGGTTGCTTATAGCTCAAAGAAGGCATACTTTTCATTTTGTAACTTCCACTGTCTCTTATTTGACACACTCCTAGTTCCATAAACATAGTAGAATTACAGTTCTGAAAGAATATTTAATAATCTAATAATCCAAGTATTTTGTGTTCCTGAACTGTGCCAAGAATTTGCTCATTAGTGGGGTGAGAATCCTGAGATTAGTGAATGTATATTGGGCCTACTTTAAGGAGAGGAGGAAGTGTACAAATAAATAGGTGATGTTTATATAGGACTGCTAGGTTTGTGCTTTTACTGAATACATGCTTAATAAAAGTAATTTTTAGGTTTAAACTTTTACTATGAAAGGTAAACTATAAACAAAGCCTTGAGTATGAGAAGCAATTAAAATAAAATACAATTTATTTTTCAGACACTTTCACTTAAAATAGAAGGGACGGTGTTCCATGTGTTTGACAAAGTTAAAGTGAAAATCACGTTAGACTCATCTAATCTTCAGCATCAGAAAATCCGAATGGCCCTGGTAGAACCACAGGTGAGACCAAACTCTCCAGTTCCCATATTATGATAGAACAGTGTGTTTTGTGTGAGAGATGTAGTTGTTATTTTTGTGCAGTGTTAGGATTTGGTAAATAGTGTATCCAAATATTTTGCAAAGCACACTCTGTTTTCTCACAGATTTCCCCAGGCCATAGGGTCCCAGACATCTGAGATTCTTCTGAGGTCCTTGGTGTCAAAATGCCTACATCAAAGACCTTTCAGGCCTTTTCCCTAGTTTTGTAATATGCACTTTTGAAGAGCAAGTGTATGTGTTTCACCTGAGACATTGGTTCTTATCCTGTGTCCTGCCCCAATACACCTGAGGCCTCTGGTGTTCTTACCAGTGTCTACATTGGGTAAACTGGACATAAAAAAGAACTTAAGAGTTAAGAACACTGTCCAAATAAGCTTCTCTCCTATTCAGATCATGTCTACCATTTACATTTCTGAACCACTATTAACTTTCTGTGTAAAATATGAATATTGTGTGCATAACCTTTTATAGCTCCTTTTCCCCCACTCTACCCCTACATTTTTTAAAAATTGAAGGGGCAGTTAGAAAGGGGAAGATGAGAGTGAGATTTCTTTATTATTTTATACTTTTCATCAATCACCTTACTTTCCTTGTTTGCATTAGATACCAGGAATAAGCATTCCGAATGAGATTTCAAACATGGACATTAATGAACCAGAGGAAAAGAAGAGGAAGCTTGAAAAATAGCTACTTTCAACAGCAAAGACTTCCTTTATAAAAACAAATAACTTGAGAGAATACTTCTGAGCCTCTGTGATAGTTTGTTACTTTTAAATTCATTTTAATAATGTCAGAAATTTGCATTTTTATTGAACTGTTGACTGTCTTATCATGCTACTTCATTTTTAGATTGAGCAGAACTATTTATGCAGAAAAATTCAATTGAATATCCATCACTTAAATCATGACAGGATAGCACCTTCAGGGATCTGTAAAGACCATTTAAATGGAGCACTCATCTGCTCATTGAAGAGATTAATTTTGCATAAGTACTTTGATTATTTAATACTTTAAAAAACTATTTCCCTACAGAAGGAAATAGGCAAATAACAATTCTTCCTAAATTTTGAAAGCTGTCAGTGTTTGGTACATAATCTCCTTTGCCATTTTAATTTTCCAAACTTACACAGCAAGTATTTCCCCACTATGATAAAAAGTCTCTTGTGGTCCTTGAAAGGCTGTGAATATTTGGGAATTGGTAGGAAGACAAACAGGATATTTTGACCTGACTGGGAAAATAGTTTGTTGTTACCAGGTAGTAAGTGCGATCATCATCCTTGACCTTCAGCTCCAAAGTCTCCCCAAAAGAAGATATTAAAACTTAGAACAGATGGTACTTGAAATGTCTCCTTCTTGTTACTTATAAAAAACAGACAGTGGCTTTTAAATTGCAATTGTATCAGATTGTATAGGAGAAAGAGAATTGTATTAAGGACATATTAAAAGGAACCTATTAAAATAAGCATTTGGTGTACCAGATTGACTACTTCCCTTGCTAACCACAGATTATAGCAAATTGGTATCCTCAAGAATACTTTGAGAAGGGGCCAGGGATTTAGCTCAGTGGGGCTGTGCCTGCCCCAAAAGCACAAGGTCCTGAGTTTGATCCCCAGTACTGGGGTGGGGGAATACTTTGAGAAAGGCTTACTGTAAAACAACTCTTTACTTAGTACCCCCGGTACTGGGGATCAGACTCAGAACCTTGGGCTTGTGTGGCAGGTGCATTACCACTGAGCTAAATCCCCAGCCCTTAGTCAATTTCTAAAGCACTCAAAGTGCACCTTTCATCACCAATCAAGTAAACTAGTGCCTTCAAAGAATTTACAGTATAATGAAAAGACTGGCAAATAAGTCAACAGGCATATTAAGTATATGTAATGCTATAACTACAGTTATTGACAGTCATGTGGGCTATCAGTAATTGAGGCGGACTTGTTTCACTGAAGAAAGATAACCTCCAGTAGACTTTGGTCTGTATAAAATGAATAGGTGAGTGACTGACACAAAGCAGGGATGTAAAGGGCCTACTCTGCTATTAGCTCTAGACAGTATTTGAACAAATGAGTATGGCTGGGTTCCATTAAACCCTTATGGGTTAAGTTTCACATGGTGTTTATGTGTCCTTAAGTATTAAGTTTCCTCTGCCACCTATTTAAAAATTGTTTAGCTAGGCTATAGTTTACTTGGAGTAGACAAAAGAACTTTTTGCCAAAGTAAGGCTCTTACTACCTTTATGTGTCCTATCTTTCCACATTTTGGGAGGCATCATTTAGGAGAATGGTAATCAGACCTAAGTCTCAATTCAGTAAAGATGAGAAAGGAACCTTGGTATTTCTTCCTAAGGCCTCTGATTTTGGTAATCTGAAATGTTTCTAGTAGTGCCAGTTCTTATGCTAAGCAGCTTATATAGATACACAGTGGGCCCTCTATCTGGGTTGTGAATCTACACATTGGAAATATTCAGGAAACTATACTATACTAAAAACTATACTAAACCTGTATGGGCATTTTTTTCAATACAGCATGACTTCACAGCATTTAAATGATACTCAGTATTATAAGGACTGTGGAGTTTATTTGAAATGTATGGTGGGATATGCACAGGTTATATGCAGAGACTGCCTTTTTATAGGGACCTGGGCATCTACGGACTTTCCTATCCAGAGGGCCCTGGCACCAGTTCTCCATGGATACTGAGGCATGACTCTATTTTACTCAAAACTCAAAAAGCCTTGTTAGGCAGACTGTCCTCCCCTTTTAAGAGATGAAAAAAATTGAGGTTTATGGTCTAGATCAAGTAGTGGACAGGAGAGATTTGATTCTAGATTATAATCATGACATTTCTTGACCTGTGCTATTAAAAAATAGTACCTAGGGTGGCTCCTACTCTTAAGGGTCCAGAACTCTCATACAGAGCAGTTGTTTTTCAGGTAAATTTTTATCGAGTCTAAAGCCTGTGTGATTACGGCAAGAAGGAAGATTTTGTTGTCATGCAAAGGTTAGCAATAAGCTTACAAGGTATGGAACACTCCACAGAATAAGGAAATGACAGTGATAATATATCTTTATTTTCTAGGGCTGATGATATTCTTTGAATGAAAAAGGTTTTTTTAAAGTAGTAAATACAAATACACATTCTCCACAGGTATTTCCAAACATATACCCATCTACTGCCAATAAGAAATTTTTTGAAAATAGCTATTTTATGTGTATCCCCAACTCTTCACAGTTGTGAGCTCAGCAGGAATTCCACTGTTCCCTAGTTCCAGTGTTTGTCTAATACTCTGTTCTTTTTCTTTCCCTAGCCAAGTCTGAACTGCAAAGGCTGTGCCTGCCTTAGGAATAGAGGTGTAATTTATTCTCCCACATTTACTCACAGATAGCAATACACATGATGATGCTGTTATTACTGCCTTTCTAGTATTTAGATTTTTTTTTTTTTTTTGGTACCAGGGATCCAACTCAGGCCCTTGCGCCTGCACAGCAGGCAGCAAAACCGCTGAGCTAAATTCCTGGCCCAAGATTTTTTAAAGTATTAACTTGAGCTACAGGAAATAAGAATTTCCCCAGAGAAATGAATAGTTCAAGGATTAAAATTGTGGGAATACCTACTTAATGCCTTTCTACCTCTTTAATCAGATTAGTTTTATATATGTAAGAGTTCTATTACATAGGTTGTAGCTGAAGTTCATGTATGTATGTTCACAGGTTTTATATAAAAATATATGGTGCCTTCAGTTTTAACATTTTCTCATGTTCTCAGAACAAGTGCTAAATTCTGTATAGAGCAGTTCACTGACCCTGTAAGGACAGGAGCAAGTCATCAGCTCTGTCACATTTTTTTATTGTTAAACACATCACTCAAGATATATACAAAAATATTTATTGATAAAAAGTAGAACTGTATTTCAGCAATTTCATGTTGTAGGGGCTTTTCTGTTGTTTCTATGTCATTAAGCCCTTGATTTTTCACATTAAGGAGGGAAAGAAAAAGCTAAGGATGTTACATGAAGCAGTTTTTTCCCAGTCACCATCACATTATCAATCCTTTGCAAAAAATATATGCGAGGAGCTTCAGCAGTAGTCTGCTTCTGACAGAGGTATTCTGTGGACCACTGCACTGAGATGGACTTGGGATTTTCACCCAACACCTGTGTTCTGCAGTCTCACTGTAGGAAAGAAAACGCCCTGATTTCAAACAGGTCATAACAATGGGAAAGGAATGAAAAAAGAATTAAGATGTGTTATACACCAGCTCCCCACAATAAATGTAACCATGATGTACTGCAGATGTACTAAAAAAATGAAAAAAAGGACAACATGAAGACAGGAGAAATAAGGTGGCCTTCCTTTTAACTTGATTTCAAGAGTTATGTTTCATTACACGTATGCTGATGTTTATAGTGCCTAATAAACTGGCATATAAAATCAAAGGTTGTCTTGTCCAGTGCCTAAAGTTACAATAACTACCAGATTTAGAAGGTTCACTAATTTCCAAATCAAAAACACCACCTTTGTACAAACACTTTGTCATATCTAAAATGCCTACATGCAACCAAAATCTTCAAAGGCAATTGGATAAGAGAACAATTCTTAGGTGTTTTATATATGGATTTACAATCTTTCAGTTGTACTATTTCCCTCTCTAGTAATCAAATTCTTCTATTTATTTCCTTTTAATTTTAAGGATCTTATTTCACTTGCTGTTCCAAATGAAGAAGAGTTAGAAAAGTGTGGATTTAAAAGCCATCTATTATGTGAACAGGACAGGGTAGGCCATAAACATGATAATTAACAAAACTTTAAATAGAATGGGGGAAAAATAGGCTGGAAAAAGTCACAGTAAATGCTGTTGGCCTATAACCACATTAAGCTTTGCATTTTCTCCATACCTTTGTATTACAAACTTGAAATTTAGTCTCAACTTCAAAGGTTTGTACATCACTTTCTTTGCAGTAACTTTCTGCTCCAGCGGTATCCATAATATTGCTTCCACCACTCTGTGTATTGTAGCCACTGTCCATCTGACAGGAGTGAAGAGGACAAAAACCACAAAGGATAAATCGCAAACTAATTCACTTATGTAATTTACATAAAATTTATTGGAAGGAACTTAAAAGCTAACTATTTGCGTTACTGTATACTTCCTTTCACTACATCTGAACAATACAATGTAATATTCATAGTGAATGAAATTAAAAGTAATACATGAAAAGGAAGTTCTAACAGAACTTACTGTTTCTTGATATATTAGTTTACAATTCCTTCCAATGAAATGTCTTCTAATGTCCTTTACAATCAGTGAACAAACCATGCAGAGCATGGTTTTTGTTATTTTGTATTCATATCCATAAATAAAGGGAGGAATACAATCAGCCTCACTTTCCAACTCATTTTCTAAACAGCTTGGTTTTACCTCTAAATGAAATCTACATAAAAGGCATGCCACTTTTAATCACACACACATATTAAAAAGGTGAGTTGCACTGACTCATACCTGATTGTTCACAATAATATCATACGTGTAATGGCTGTAGATATTCAAGTTTTCATGTTAATAAAAACTGTTGCACTCTAAGACAAATTGCTCTGGCCAAAAACAGCAAAAGAAAGATTCTACCCATCTCTAACCCATAGGGATATGCTCCAAGACCCCCCAGTGAATGCTTGAAAATCATGTTTTTACCTACACATACATACCTATGATAAAGGTTTAACTTACACATGAGGCACAGTAAGAGTGACTATAATAATAAAGTAGAACAATAAGGTTATGTGAATGTGGTCTCTCAAAATATCTTACTGCAAAAAAGAAAAATCTTCCTGTTCTTTCACCTTTGCACTTGAAGGAAGTACTTTGTAGCTTCTCTTGGGCATACCCACGTTGCCAGCACGACTACTCTTGCTCTTGGGGGGCATTATTAGGTAAAGTAAAGGTCACTAGGACATATACAAGCACTGCAATATTGTGACCCTCTGGTAACTGAGAAGCTGCTAAGTGACTGAGTGGGCAGTATGTGTAGTGTGGATAGGGAGACAGGGATGGCTGGTGTCTTGGGCAGGATGGTGAGGGTCACTGGAGGATTTCATCATGCCACTCGGAATGTTTGCAACTTAAAACATGAATTCTTGGGCTGGGGATTTAGCTCAGTGGTTTCGCTGCCTGCTGCGCAAGCGCAAGGACCCGAGTTCGATCCCCGGTACCAAAAAAAAACCAAAAAACAAAAACATGAATTCTTATGCCAGGTCCTGTATGGTGCTCTACATAATGCTACTCTTCTCCTTTCAACATCCCTACTACTTTACAGGTAAGAAAGGCGCAGAAAGGCTAACTTTCACACTGCCATACAGTAAGTAATGTGGTGATGAAGATCGGAGGCTCCAGAGCCTGAGCTCTATTCACTACATGATACTCCATCTACTTACATAATGCCGAGCATGAAGCAACACATACAACCCCTGCAAGGAAATCACCCAGCACTTGACCCTTCCTTCCTAAAGAGAAGCAGAGGGAAGACTACTTTTGCTCCCCTTGTGAATATTTACAACAGCCTAGACAGTGCATTCTGTCACTCAGAAGACAAAAAAAAAGTTCCTAGTTTTCAGGGAAGGATGTGTATTTGCTCATGGCTGGGAGTCCTGTTCCAATAGAAGAAAAGCCTTGTGACATGTAGGATACAATATAACCTTACATTTCAAGGGAAGCACTGTGTTTTGCTATTATCTGGTAGATATTTGATCACAAATGTAAACATCAGGTTGCTTGCAGATAATCTGCCAATTACTCTTCCTTTTAATATTCATCATTGCCAAATATCAGACTCAGAACTCAACACTAGTATGTAACTGAACATATTAAGGGAAAGTAAATAGTATAGGTGTGAGGAAGGCACACAGGGAGTCTGGCACACTGGGCAGGAAGAGCAGGATCCCCTCTTGGGAGCCCTGCGTGGCGGCTGACCTCATCCTCTCATCTAAACCACTACCAGTGTCAGTGCCTCCTATGTACCGCACAGATGTCACAGGCCATCTTGTTACTTTCCATAGGGATCAAGGTGGGCATCATTATTCTTGGTAAGAATAAAGTACTAAAAAAGATCAGTCATGTTCTGCTCACTGTCAAGTGGATCCTGCCCTATGATCCCACAGCCTGGAAAGAAGAAAACTAATCCTATTAGAACAAACTTCATATTCTTAACAGCCATTTCTAAATGTGTCTGTTGTCAGTCATCTTACATCTGCTTTGTTAGTAAATTACTTCCAGTGGTTCACAACTGGAAAAAGCTGTGCCTTCGATGGGCATTCCTTGAAATTGGGCTCCAGCACATGAGCCCTTACATTATCATTCTCAGTTCCCTTTGCTTGATACCATTCAGAGGATCTTGTCTCCCATCACTACCGATTTCTCTCATTTAAATATATTGCTATTCCCATCTAAACTAAAAGGCAAAAAAACAAAAAGATTCTGGACTTTAATGTTTTCCTTTAGCTATCATTTCTTTCCCTTCACACTTAAGCTACTTCAAAAAGTTATCTACATACAATTTCATTCTTCTTTAATTTTCCCTTCATTCTTTTTTCAGAGGCTGTTCAAATACCAATTTGAACTTCTATTATTATTCCAACAGCTTACCATGGCCTACAAAATTCCTTGCTCATATTTTGACAGTACTAACTATTCTTTCCTGCTGACGATGTCCCAAGACACTATGCTTTCCTACTGTTCCTTTCTCCTCTGCTTCTTCTCTATATCCTTTATCCAGTCGTTCAACTTTTCCTCAGGGTTACAAATCTTAGCCCAGTATTTTCATTTCATATATTCCCTGGTTGAACATATTTATGTATTCATTCTATTTTCATTACACAAATATTTAATGAGTAGTTACTATATGCCAGGGTTTTTGCACAAAAACATACATCATTACTTGATTAATTAATGGTCTGACTGAGAATGCAAAATTATACACAGATTTACAAAAACATATGAGGAGGTCTGGCCTGGCCAGTAAGGTCAAGGAAGGTTTCTGATGAATGTGACCAACAAATTGTGAACTAAAAAGAGCTAGGTAAAGTGGGATGGAAAGAAATTCTTCACAGTATGTGCAAAGGCCCTCTAACAGAAGGGAACACGGGCTATTCAAACTTCTGAAAAGCCAGGAGGAGTATTGAAACAAAGAAGAAAGGTGAAACAAGATGAAGGTGAAGAGTGAGGCAGCCAGATCATACAGTTCCTTGGCAGCCACATTATCCATAGTGGAAGAAAAGATGATTCTAAAAATTAAGGATAAGATGCAGAAATTAGAACCAAAAGGAGACTTTAACAAGTATGGCAAAAAGTTGTTTCTAAATTGGAGAATGAAAATGAGTTCTAGAGAAGACAGTGAAAATGACTGAAATTCAAGAAAAGATCCAAGAGGTAAAAGGCTTAAGTTTACAGACCATAAATAAGGGCATTCTGAGAGCTCAGTAGAGTGGCTGAAAAGAAATCCACACCAAAGAATATCAGTGAAATTTCAAGACACTATAAAAAGAAAAGGTTCTAAACCATCAATAGGGAGGGAAACAAAAAGATGATTTACAGAAGATTAAGCATTGAAATAATTTCAGATTTCTCACCAGCAACACTGAAATAGTCAATGAAACAATGTGTTCAAACTCTAAGGGACAATTATTTCTAAACCTGAATGTGAGGGAAGAATGAACACCTCATCGGACATACAATGTCTTTAAAAATGTACTCTTTCTTAGAAAGCCACCAGAAAATGTACTCCAGTAAAATGAGATGTAAACTAAGAAAGAGAAGAATGGGATACAGAAAGCAAGAGGCCACAGAACACAGGAGAGAGTATGGGAATTTCTAGGATGATGACCATCAGATAGCCTAGGAAGCAACCAATCCAGGGAAGTAAATCAAAGGCTCTGGGGAAACATGGTTGTGTCCCAACTTGAAAGATACTTCTGTGGCAGAAAAATAACATGAAATGTAATAATGTGAAATAACAGAAAAATGTATGAAAACATTTTTAAACTATAAAAATCTCTGTAAAAGGTAAACACGATGTGGCTGAAAGATTAAAATTAAGAATAATTGGTTGAAATCACAGATGTAACCACTTTTCAGCTCAATATAAGGAAGGGGTCTTTGAAAATGAAATGGAATATTCCTGCAGGTACTCAGGCATAACTCAGATGACAATTCAGTAGTGACTTTGGAGAATGTGTGTAAGTTTCCAATGGGTATTTGAATTAGATGATTATCAAAGTGTATTTCAACTAAAGTATTTTTTGTTTTGGTTTTTTTGTTTTTTGGTACTGGAGATCGAACTCAGGACCTTGCGCTTGTGAGGCAGGACGTTGAACCACTGAGCTACGTCCCTGGCCCATCAACAAAATTATTTTATAATTCCTCTATAAATGCCCTGCCAATAAAGAGAGTGGAAAAGAAAAAACCAGTAACAATACCTTTAAGGCTAAGTTTGACTATATGTGCTTTTTCTAGTATGACACCAACTCTAGCAGGTAAAATATGTAAAAGTGATTCTAATGTAATTTTTTTTGAGCAAGGAACCCAGCAGTCAGGATGGGCAATGTAAGTATGAGCAATTTTATTTATTTACTTTTTAGACAGGCTCTCACTATGTAGTTCAAGCTGGCCTTGAACTAACAGGCTGGGCTCAAACTTGTGGTGATCCTCCTGCCTCAGCCTCTCAAGTGCTGGGATTACAGGGAGACCACATCAGCTAATTCTGAATTACTTAGAATCCTTCCAGGAGTTCCCAACTTCAGTATGCACAATCAACACTAAATTGGTACAGGATTGCTGTGAGAGTTAAGTGAATTATATAAATATTGATATTTCTGAATGAACTGGCTAGAAGAGCACCTGCAATCAAAACACTATGTATTAACAACATCATGAGTCAGTATAAACTGGATTTAATTACACAGACTCAAAAGTCAGACTAGTAGGATCAAATCTTGGTCCTACCACTTACTGATTATATAAGTGATAGGGAATTTACATAGCCTCTTTGATCCTCAGTTTCCTCATCTGCACAATGGAGGTAATGGTACTCTTACTTTCCAGGCTTAGTGATGATAAACTGCATCACCACACACTCAGAACCCAGAAGAGTGCTGGCACACAGTAAGTGCTGTGTAAGGGTTAGATGTCACTATGGCAGCTAAGGATTCGCCTTGTGAGCATTCTAAGGCCCTTTCCATATTCTCTGCCCTCAGAACAGTACAATGAATGGAACAGTATCTTTCGATGTAAGTGCTGCTTATGAAATACACATGTGAAAGAAATCAAGATTTTTCTGTTGCCAGGCTTTGGGAAATTGGAAATGTACAATTACATGAAAACTACTGGCTAAAGTCACATTTTTTTTTGGTACCGGGGATCGAACTCAGGACCTTGCGCTTGCAAGGCAAGCGCCAGAACCACTGAGCTAAATCCCCAGCCCCTAAAGTCACATTTTTAAAAAGTACAAAGAAATACACATAAAAGTGCTCTAAACTTTGCTTTCTCTCCCTGAAAATTACATAAAGGTAAAGCAAAAACTGTGGTACTTTTCAAGTATTGTATCAGAAACTACAGGGGGCCAGGGATTTAGCTCAGTGGTTCTGGTGCCTGCCTCGCAAGCTCAAGGTTCTGAGTTCGATCCCCCGTACCAAAAAAGAAAGAAAGAAAAAAGAAAAGAAAAGAAACTACATTCCTGTGGCACAAGATTCAAAAACAGAGAAATTCTGAGAGGCTGCCTGACACTAGCAGTCTATAAAAATGAAGCTGCTTCATTTCTTTCTGTTCACATCTTCTCCTACTCCAAGTAAATGTGTTAATAAGCACATTAAATATGCATAATTAATTAATTAAAAGAAACTATCCCTTCTGGTATTACTTGCTATTGAGATAGATATATATTTGTTTGTTTTTTGAGACAGAGTCTTGCTATGTAATTCAGGCTGGCCTTGAACTCACTAGTGGTCCAGAATGGCCTTGAACTCGAAGTGATCCTCCTGCCTCAGCCTCCTGAGTGCTGGGATTACAGGTGTGTGTCACTATGCCTGGTTTTGACATTTAACCCATTATCCATCTCACACTATCATCTTAGGGAAAAAGGGTAATGCCAAGAGAGTAGGCAAAGGTCAACAGAATCTTAAAACACCTTACCTGCATGTTACTGCTTTCACAAGGAAGCACACTGCTTTCAGCAAGGGGTGACAGGCACATTTCAGAGTTTTCAATGCTAAAGGCAATTCCGCTCACAAAGTCAGGTACAGGCAAACTCCCATCATCAGCGGGCTCCTTAATCCAAGTGTGCTCATCTGCTGCCTCTATAGGACCGACCATGTCCACAGGGTCATTCTTCTCACTTGCAACATCCTGCAGGGCGAGTTCTTTCCCAGAAGCGGTGGGCTGACGCTGTGTAATAGACATGGCAGTCACCACTAAGTGCGTGCTATGTGTGGCGTCACTCATCAACTGCCGCAGGGGTCCTCCCACAGCATCCCCAACTGGGGACAAGACTTCTGGGGAGAGAACATTCTCTTTATCTTCCTCATCTTCACTGTGAGTCTCAAGAGCAAAAGGAATCCGGATCAGCGAGGCCCGGAATGGAGTCCCACCTCTGCACATCTCCAGTCTCAGAGGAGACCAATTTTTAATTGGTGAGCAACCATCTATATAAGGACTTCTGATACACGGATTAGTAATTCCATTAGAATTTATTCTAGATGAGGCATCAGGAGAATGAAAAGTAAATTTCCTTTGTTCTAAAAGATGGGAGAGAAAAACCACATTATAAAACCATGAAAATCAGAAAAACCATAGCTAAATGATAATCATGTTCCATGCCAGAAAAGCTAGATTCCTATAACAACTGTGTTGTTTACTAAAGTGAATTTTTGAGGTGGAAAACAAGCCAGGCTATGGTGATGCATGTCTATAATCCCAGCACTTGGGAAGCTGAGGCAGGAGGATTGCTGTGAGTTCAAGGCCAGCCTGGGCTACATAGTGAGTTCAAAGCTAGTCTGAACTACAGAGCAACACCCTATCTCAAAAAATAACAACAACAAAAAAAATACAAAACAACAGCACAAGTGAATGTGTCTGAGTAAGGAAGAAGAGGCTCAAAAATAGTTTCTGTAGCTCCTTTCCTATTTTAACTAAAATATCTTACTCCCTGAAAATTATTTTCTCATAAGGATACTGCTATGATACCAAAATTACTCATGTACAAAGAAAATCTGCTTAAAGCTACAACTTATAGCTGTACCTGGTAAGTTAAATATATTTTTAAAAATCCTTGTTTTTATGTAAAATATTATATGCAACAGTAAAAGACAAGCAAAGACCTAGAAAATAATATTTGCAATAATAAAGAGCCTAATGATAATCAAAATGATGGAAATGCTTTAAAGCTTAATGATGACTTACAACTTCATTGGTTTAACAAAAATACAAGTTTTTTTAAAATGAGCAAAAGCACGTAAACAATCTTCCCAAAAGTAAATAAACATATGAAAAGTATTCAGCCACAAAAATAATAAAAAGTACAGAAGTTAAAGCAATGAGAAACCATTTAAACTAACATTGAAGCCTGAATTAACAATCCCCCAAAACAGAACTGGCCAATGAGTCCATTTCACCTAAAGCTATAAATATGTGTAACACAGTATATATGTAGGATAATCATTAGCTTTGTGACAAAAAAAAATTAGAAATAATTTGAATGCTTATTAATGGTTCAAAACAAGTGACACATAGAGCTAAGGGTATAGCTCAGTGGCAGTGTTAACCTTGCACACACGCCACCTTGGGTCCAATCCCCAGCACCACAAAACAAAAACAAAACAAACGATACGTGTATGAAATAGCTTACAACCACATTTTTGCATGGTTTAAATGTCCTGAACAACCTATGAAAATATGTACAATAAAATTCTTTGCGAAGAAAAGGCAAGATATAAGTATGAACAAGCATGTGTGCAGATAAGTATGTCCATATATACACCCATACACAAATATAAACAGGACTAATGAAAAAAAAGGTTTTCAATTTTGTTCAGTATGAATAGATTTTCCAAAATGGTAAACTTTTAAAAATTGGTATTTTTGCTTCTCGTGGTTCCAGTAGGGGAGAGAAGGAGGAAGAGCAAGGAATGAGGCGGTTGGGGGGACCCGCAGCCACCCGCCTCTGCTCATGGCGTGGGAAAAAGGGGTGTGAGTCCCAGGCGCGAGGCAGCGGTGGTGCCGCTGCGGGAGGGTCGGCGGTGGGGAGGCAATGGCGGATATAGATAAACTCAACATCGACAGGATTATCCAACGGCTGTTGGAAGTGAGAGGGTCCAAGCCAGTTGGACCAGGCCTGAACCCGTCCATTCAGAAAGCTTCAAATTATAGAAACAGTACTGTTCTATATGAGTGACCGATTATGCTTTCTTTATTCTGTGGTGAAGTTGAGGCTTATAAGTCAAAACAAAGGAAATAATTTGCTGTCCACCAGTTTATACAGAATTCACAGTATCTATGACTTTTTTAAACTAAGATCTGTTAAAAAAAAAAAAAAAGAAAAAGGAAATCTGTTTCAACAGATGACCGTGTACAATACCATCTGGTGAAAAAGAATTCAGACTTATTAAATGACAAACTGGTTAAAAAAAAAAAAAATTGGTATTTTTTTCAGGGAAATGTGTACATTTCTGTACATTATATTTACTTTAAAAAATTAGCCAAATACACTGGCTTTTTTTTTAAAACAAACTATGAATATCTAATTATCAAAATCTAAACCCACAGATCAAAAGTCATACATGAACTAAATTGTCTCTAAAACTGTTAACTTTCATTGATGTTTGATATAAATAGTGCTAAAGTAACTATATTTTACATTATAGTAGAGCTTTGCTGAGAATTCCATTTCTTGAAGGTGAATTGTTCTTTTGTTAAAAAAACCCAAAGTTTCTAAATGTTAGACAAAAGTGATTATTCAGAATTGTGCAAAAAATGAGCCTCATTTGTAACAAATACACTACAAAATTTCAAACAGCTATTTTATTATGAGACATACCTGAGAGTGGTGTCTTTCCTATTTGAAGTTCTACTGGTGAGAAAGTGGGTGAAGAAATAGCTGAAGGACTGGTTATGCTTCCCAAACTGTACTTTTTTGCACTACCTTGAATAGGACTGGAAGAAAACTGCCCCTATGATAATATAAATAAATCATAAATAAGCACGTTGTTTATGGTTCTCTTCAACTCATGTCACGTGCTATTTGTCTTCATCTTGAAAACACATTTACAAATTAGGAATTATTCATAACTACCAAAAGATACCGTTTTTCATTTTTTTGGCACCAGGGATCGAACTCAGGACCTTGCGCTTGCAAGGCAGGTGGCAGAACCACTGAGCTAAATCCCTAGCTCTAAAAGATATCTTGGAACAAAGACAAGAAGGCTGCTATCCAGTATTTGGATTAGAATATCTTGGTCAAAATATAAATGCACTGTATTTAAGCAAACCATTACATATTGTATCAAGCAACTGTCGGTGCAAATTTACTCCATGAATGCCAACCCAGTTGTGTTATACTGTAAGGTTGTCAAGATTCAATAAAAAACCCACACTGAGATTCCTTGAAACTCATGATAAATTAGGTCCCTCCCATGAAAACTGGAGTCTGAATAAAAACATTCCCATGACTAATGAAAATATATGAACTAAGTTAACATTCATTAAGTATAATTATCCAAAGGCAACTATTTCTTTTGAGTGAATTGCAGGCATAAAGGTCTAAGTACATATAAAACAAAATCATCCACTTGTGAATATTATTCTTACCGAGCCTGGGGTCTGCAGAGGGCTCCTACACCGTACAGGAGATAAATCTATTGAATAAAACACCTCAAGGGATGCTTGGGCACTGCTATGAGGACTCTGAGGCGAAGCTGATGGTAAGGAGTCAGAAATACTTCCATTCCCATCTAAAAAGAGCTTTCTTCTGAGAGATGAAGAACTGAGGTTTCCAGGAGACTGATCAGCAAATTCATTAGCTCTAAAATAGTCACCTATATTTAAGATTAGTAGAATAAAAGGAAAATCTAGATGTTTTGAAGAGCAATTGCACTACTGTTACCTAATTTTTTAAAAAAACAGCATGTACCATGTTTGATTTTTTTTTAAAAGATGGCAAAGTTTAACTGCATATGTTTGTATATGGTGATGTTTAATATCTTACATTATTCATTATTTTTTGGAGCACTTGTATTAATATTATACAAATGCCAACAAGAGACTCATAGTTTATGCCTATAGAAAAATTCATTATGATATAAAAGCTAATTCAGGCCATTTCGAGAAAGAGATATTCAGGACAGTTTCCCCACTTCTTTAGAAAAAAGCACTACCAAGTATTTCCATTTACAAAAAGCCAACAAAACAGATCACTTGATGTTAGTTATTAAAAAATTTTAAAACAGTATTTACCTAATATATTTTCTAAATTAAAATCCACAGGAAGAGACAGCAATGTCTGACAAGCAGCTGGAAGTAAGCAAATAAATAAATAAATACAAACATGGATAAATCAACGATAAAGCACGTGACAGGCAGTTTAGCATGTGCTTTTCCATCAACTGTCTCCCCATGATGCTCGAGGCAAATGAATTATTCCACTTACGCATTCCAGTACCTGCCACAACACCTTCCTTGTAAGTGGCCTCCCACTTCCCGCTATTGACAGAAATGTGTTAACGGTAAAAGTTCACCCCCGTTGTGATGCTGGCACTCTGAACTGAAAAGGAAGCCAGCCTACACTTGGGGTGAGACTTCCCACATTAACACATTTTCAAAAGAATGCTTTCCAAAACCGAAATGATTCCCAAACTTGGAACAAGACAACAAGAGACCACTGCTGTTTATAAAACATAGCTGGATGCATCTGCTGCAGTACATCTGCTTTTAGAAATCAGCTCTCACAGTTATACAGATCGTTCACAAATAGTCAACAATCTCAATTCCGAAGTAATTTTGTACTACATGAACTGTGTTTAAAATCAACCACAGCCTACTGTGGAACTATTTCTTTATAGATTGTGTTCACACTCACCATTGCTTTTTTCAGAATCAACGGTCAGCTTTCTCCCAGGTGGAGAGTCACTATTTATGTTAATACCTGTAAAACATTTTAAGTGGAAAATCACACATTTTATATTCATTTATTTTAGCCTACTTTTTCTGGACCAAAAAGTTACATATTAGAAGCTTTTATCTTATAATATTTTGAGAATAAATATCTGTATTTATAGTTATCTATTTGGGCATGTTTAACTTTGAGAGAATATACTATAAAATTAAAAGATTACCAGAGCAAATAAGGAGGTATGACAATTTATATTTTTTCATTAAAAAATGACATATATATGCGTGATATTTTGATATGTGTACACATTGTGGAATGAACAAATAAGGCTAAATTATATATCTATCCCTCACGTTCTTAATACTTTTTAGTGAAAATATTTAAAATCCACTTTTAGCAGTTTAAAAATATATATTAACTATAATCACCTTGCTGTGCAATAGATCATCATAACATATTCTTCCCAACTGCAACTTTATGCTCTTTATTTACCATCATCCCAATACTCTCACCTTCGCTCTACTTTCTATTTCTGTGAGTTTGACTTTTAGATTCCACATATAAGATCATAAGTGTTGTGGTTTAAAATCTAAAACATTCCCAAAAAGCACTCTACTCATAAGTGGATTAATCTATTGCTAAGTTCCTAGCTGAATGTGCTATTCAAAGGTGGAGTCTGGTTCGAGGTGGGGAAGCAGGGACAAGGAGGACCTGGAAGGGTATATTCTTGTCCCCAGATCTTTCCTTCACTTCCTGCTTCCTGGCTACCATGGCTGGAGCAACTGTCCTCCGCCAGGCTCTTCTGCCATGCCATTCCTGCCTTGAAGCCAGCCAACCATGAACTGAACCCTCTGAAACCATGAGCCAAATAAATCTCTTGTTTTATGTTGCAGGTATCAGGCATTTTGGCCCAGTGACAGAAAACTGACTAATACATGTAGTAAATGCCTTTCTGTGCCTGGCTTCTTTCATTTAGTATAATGTCCTCTGGATTCATCCATGTTGTCACAAACGACAGAATTTCCTTTGTTTAAGGAAATTTAAGGAAATGCTACAGTTTTTAAAATCCATTCATCTACTGATGGGAATTTAGATTGATTCTATGACTTGGCTATTGAGGACAGCACTGAAATGAACAGGGGGATGCAGATGTACTGATTTTTATTACTTGAGATATATAACTAGAAGTGGGATTGCTCAATCACAAATAATACTTTCTAAGGATAGCATGATTGCTCCTCATAATGGCAACCTTAAAAGGCAAGGGATGTATCTCAGCTATCCTCAAACAAATTCTGTCATGTAACATTTTCTTAAAATGGGTTTACATAGACTGCATTAAAATACCATATTATTTTGACAAAACCTGAAGTTTGATTAATAAAACTATGCCGAGTTTCTTTCACAATGGGAGTCAAAAACAGAAGTGCAAATTGAAGTTTTATAACTTGAAAAATGACCAGATTAAAAACTAAAAGAAGGACAAAAATGGACCAAAATATATACGCAAAATAAAGGGGGAAAGTATCAGAAAATATAAAATAAAAAACAACAGAATAAAAACTAGTCTAAGATCATTAGGTTTAATAATTCTAAATAAATGAGGGAGGGAACAGGTGAATGGGCCAATGACTTAAAATACTCTATTAAGTACTATCAGAATGGGTAAAAACATGAAATAAAAAAGAAAGTTCTGGATTGCCATGCCATCTTCACTGAAGCAGTGAGACCTCTAAGAAGTCAAAACTCTTTTCTGCCTAACACCTTATAATGTTTTAAGATGAGTCTAAACAACTTAATGGCTTACAAAGACCTTCAAAACCTTGTTTATTTCTCCAGCATGGTTGCCATTCAACTGAACATTATTTATTTGAGTACCTTAAAAAAAAATAGGTAACTCTCTAGGTACTGACTCATACTTTTTCTTCTCTGCCTTCCTTCTCCATTCCCTGTGTCTGGCTAGCTCAAATCTGAGTCCCCCGCACACTTCCTGTGTCCTTATCAAACTAGGAACCTATAGTTTATGTCTAGAATCGTGAAAGATCTAAGACTTTACCCTACTTTCAAGCTAATGAGTTAGTACGTCAAAGTCCCATGGATGCTGGCTGAAGACATGAGACCTGTGGCATAAAGACAAAGCACTTCACTATTCTGAGCAAAGCAGGCAGCATGAGCTTAATGTTCACATCAGTTCCCTTTGTCCCTAAAGTCACAAGGAGATGATATGGAGTAGCCCTGGGGGATGCTGCACACACATGGAATATTCTAGTTTAGATGTGAAATGTTCTCCAGAGGCCCTGTATCGGTCAGCTTTCTTGTCACCCAGACACAATACCTAACACAACTGAAAGGAAGAGAGGTTTAATTTGTCTCAGTTTCACTGAATTCGGTCCTTGGTCCGCTGGCTCCAGTGCAGGAACATCATAGCAGAAGAGCCCGGTGGAAAGAAGCTGCTTAGGTCATGGCAGCTGGGAAGCAGAATGGGGGGACTGACAGAGAGGAACAGCTAGGGGCCATTTATAATACCCAAGGTCACACCTCCATGACCTACCAGACTCACCCAGGAGTGTGCTTTACTAATCTGCTAAGAGTTTACCGCTCCAAGGAAGTTGATAAATCAGGATTAACAGTCACGGGGCCTATGATTAACACCTTAGTCTTAGACATTATAATTAATGTCTTAGTCTTCAGCTTAGTGCTATCAGGAGGTAGTGAAAACATTAACAGGTGGGGTTATCGGGGGCATGCCTTTAAAGGGTATGGTAAAACCCCAGCTCTTTCTCATCTCATTTACAACCTGGCCACAAGGTGAACAGGCATCCTTTGACATGTGCTGCCATGATGTTCCATACTACCACAGCCCAAAGCAACAAGGCCAACCAAGGACTAAACCACAAAAACTCTGAACCAAAATAAACCTTTCTTCTTTGTAAGTTGATTATCTCAGGTATTTTGTTACAGTTTTGAAAAGTTGACTGATGCAGTGGGTTATCATGAGGAACCCTGAGCTTAAATCCATTCTTAGCCAGGTGTGATGGCACATACCTGGAATCCCAGCACAAGAGAGGCTAAGGCAGGAGGATCGCCACAAGTTTGAGGTCAGCCTGGGCTACATAGTGAGTTCAAGGTCAGCATGAACTGCATAGTGAGACTCTCTCAAAAAACAAAAAACAAAAAAACAAACGAAAAAGCAAAACAAAGAAATCCCATTCTTAGAATGGTTTGCAAACAAACCTGCTCTAGAAGGAGATAACCTCTTTCTTTACTGGACAGCAAAATAAGCCTACCCTCCACTCTGGAGGGGCACACTATCTGTCTTCTAAGGATGATCACCATACAAATATCCTTGAAAATAGTTTGGAATGAAATCTGTCTAAACCACTCTTTGCAAGATACTGAAAAATGTAAGACTCATGGAGAATTTCTTTGTCACAACATTAAGCAGCACAGCCATGGAGCCCATCCTGTTATCCACTGCAGCAGTCATCACAGGGCAGATTAGCTTATCAGAGACTATAGTATTTTTGTGTCTTCCTGATAAAGCATCACTTTAACTAAAACAAGTTTTCAGAATATGAAACGATGACATTAAATAAATCATGTAAAGTTGATTCATCTGTAATAAAATCCATCATTGAAAAATAGGTGGAAGGACTAATGCCTATAAAAATATCACTTGAACATAGAATTTTAGAGCTCAGAGCGATGTAATACACAACTCTCTAGTCTAATCCTTTCATTTTATAAATAAAACTGAGGTCCAAAGAGATCAAATAATTTGATTGAGGCCTCACCTCTGGTTTATAATCATAGGGTGTTTACAACCCTGGTCTCCATCCATACCACACTCTGCTGTTGGTTTATAATGGCTGAGGATCACTGTATCTGATCTGAAACGCCAAGTTTTGAATCCAAGTTCTACCAGTTTTAACATCTCTGTACCCTGGACAAATGCTCTAACCTTTTTAAAATGAAGTGTCATCACCTACATAATGGGGCCAACAATTATACCTACCTCATATACATGTAAGGAAGTACTAGAATAATTAGTACTGTCTTGGCAAACAAAATGCCCAACCCACCTTACCTATTACTGTTGCATTTTTGATAAGCATGTAACAAACACCCCCTCTTATACTCTGTACATAACTAAGGTACACTACAAGAAGAGAGTAATGACATTGCAATAAGGGATGCACATGTACCGCAATATTTGAACTCTTCTCATGACCCAAAAGGCAGTGAGAACAAATATAAGACAGCCATTGCCTGGAGGAAGAAAGATACTGGAAGATTAATGGTTTGCCCTTTAATTTCCTATTAATTTTGCAGATAATCAGCATCCATCCTTGAGGTCATTTAAGTCTCTACCCTTTCTCTACCTTTATAAGAAATTATCTCTGCATCTATGGATCCTCTGGATTTATTTTAACTGGTATTCATAATGGTCACAAAGAACAAATAAATTTGGAATATAATAGTGAAAAAAGGAGTATATTTTAGCCAAGCTTTGATTCTTATCCTAAAAGGAGTTAAATCCCATTATGCAGAAATTTAATTTTATGCAAGCTCCTTACCAAACCAAATAAACTGATGCTTCACTAAATTGCTTTATACTCACTGAGTTTTAAATTTTTTTTATTTCATGATTTTTAGTCATATAATTTGAAGTACACTCACATTTACTGGAATGATACTCTGAAAGCTGTTTCCCTTCATGTTCAGTCCAAGGAGAGGGTACGATGACATCTTTAGTGAAAAACTAGGAAAATTAAGGTCTACAATTAGGCATAAATTTCTCCCCAAATGTGAGAAGGTGCCTATAGTATTTGCAAATAACTATTAGTCACTCATATACTAACTTTGTAGTTATTTTAAATTATCAATATTTAAAAACACAATTGGCCCAAGGTACAATGGAAAAATGTAAAGTATATATAAAAAGAAATCATAATATTTCCAATCAACCACTTTAATTTAAAACTTATAAATTAAGTTAAGGTATGAATCATAGAGAACATATTTTAAGTTGTTCTTCCCTTATTTTGGGAGGAGGGCAAAAGAGCAGATTAAGAGGTAAGGAACAGATGAAGATAAAGGTATAAAAACAAGCTAGTATAAATGGTAGGCTGGAGCTACCTTGTACTAGCTCTCTAGCTCTAATTATTAAATTTCCAGGAATCTTTGTATACCAGTTGTTAGTCATTATTTAATATCAAATTATGTTAATTTATAATTAAATTATATTAAAATATCCAAAACTCATCATTTGGTAATTATTTGATTATATTTACCAATATCTACGCTCGAGATTAACTGCACCTTTTTTATCTATATGGTAGATTCCTATGTACAACGGTGTGCAACTGCACTTCCCCTTTTTGTGATGTCATATCACTGGCTTGAAATTGGTTGGTGTTAGAGTTCCTATACTACAAAGAGCAGCAATCAGTATAAACCATATTCTACAACCAGAAGGCCACTAGCTGGATACATTTCTTTCTTCTTTCATTTCTAATACAGTATTTTTCCCTTCCCTATGTTTTTTGGGGAAAATACTTTCTTTTTATTTGGCTTCAAGTATGATAACAAATTAACTACCCATGAATCATGAGGAAAAGATGAAAAAACAAAGGGAATGGAAAAGAGATTATGACTTAGACAATTTGCAGGAAGAAATATAAAGAACTCACAAACTTATGACGTGATATGTATGAGTTCACTCAAAATTTAAAAAAATAAAAATCCATATAACAAAACATTATTTTTATAGTAAGATTAATACCCATATATTTAAAACTTTGGTAATAATTAGTATTGCAGATAAGAAAACACAAGCAATATTATAATGAACCACGAGTATAAATGGGTACTTTTAGGAGGGTGATATGGCAAAATCTACCAAAACTGAAAATCCACCAAGCCTCTGATTTAGCAAATCTACTTCAAGTATACAAAATAAATTAGCTAATCACAAAACTATGATATAAATACAAGGAACACAGCTTAAGTATCTATTAATAAGGGCTGTTACTATGGAATATAAAAATGTGTATGTGCTAATTATCAAAAAATATTTAAGAAAGATTATTGAGCAAAAAAGCAAGATGTAAAACAGTATGAAAAGAATGAATCTATTTGTCTAAAATAATGGATGCATGACATTATATATATAAATTAATCTCTAATTATAGACAAGAAATGTTATTGCAATTGTCTTCTGAGGGTGGGATGGAGGACCAAGAGCTTCTCATTTTCATTTTATATTTTTCCTTGGCATTTGAAATTTTGTATTTAACATGGACACATAATTATTCTATTTTGAAAAATATGTTAAAAAATTTGTACCCTACTGTCACTCTTTGATTGCCTTAAATTTTATCTGCTAAGTTTCCCTTTCAACTTTAAGGATTCTAAAAAGAAAGCACATTTTTCAAAATGTTGGAAAATCAGAAAGAGGCTAAGAATATTTGGCTGGGTAGGAATTATATGACTGGTTACAATGATAATGAAAATTTTGGAGCTAAAGAGTGTAGAGAATGCTTGGAAGGAGTGAACAAGTGAAACTATTTCCTAAAAATAGGCTATAATCTCAAATTCAAGGAGAACACACCCACTCTACTGCACTACTGTAGGGGCATCCCCTGACTCCAGAATATGCAGGCACACAAAGTTTTTTTGGGGTGCAGAAGAGCCGAGTATAGCTAAGAAATAGAAGCAGGGAGAGAAGGTCAGAAAAGGAAAAGGGAAAAATCAGAAATGTTACCATGATCTAAAGACTTTCTGAACCTTAGTCATGCTCTACGGTATTCAGCAAATAAAAGAGCAAAAGTAAAAAACTTAGTTCATTTTTTCACTTAAAAAAACCCTCCTACATTTATACTTAGTGAAATACATTTTAATTCATGAAATATATTGTCTTAAAAATCCTAAGTATTCATAACAAATGAGAAATCTATTCTCTATCCCAATCTAGATTTGAAGTCCTGAAAATATTTGACTTCCTTTACATAAACTCCAAGTTGGAAGAAAATTCTGTGCTATTCAATATTCTGAGGGCATGAGAAAGACAAATTTTGCTGGCCCCTGAAAATGAGAAGAACGAAGCACAATACTGGCCAAAAAGTAGTTAGTCCAGGGGAGAGAGCACTACACAAGCACTGTATGAGCACCAAGTACGAAGACAGCTGAAAATCACCGGTCTCACGAGAGCCCAGAAGGGTACGTCATACAGTTAGGAGCACAGGGAGGTTGAGAGGAAGGTGGAGGCTGAAGGGTCTGAAGAAAGTCTTCCTAAAAGGTGACACACATGCAGAATTCATCCTTAACTGACTTAAAGATCAGCAACAGTTTTCAGTTACCTCTTCAATGGCTTTTTGTCTTTTGTCTTCCACATCTTTATCTATTCTATACAGAGATAAAGAAGAAAAATAACCATGCCATTACTTCAGCTTATTGAACATTTAAAATAATAACCTTTCAAAGAAATAATTCCCCTCCATCGAAACCTGGCAAATGTTAAAACTCACTTTAAAAGAAAAACTGGTATCTTGTAACATTTAGTTAATGGCAGTATTCTGAAATTCAGCATTTAGCCCTTAGGCCTACTTCCCTCTTTCCCATTCAAACTGTGATTGGAGTAATACTTTCTTTTGAAAGGTTTATAGCAATATATTTAAATTACTAACAACATAAAATATTCTGAATAAAGTGTGTTCTTTACTCAACAAAATTTAAGTATTTAATTTGACAGAAATTTAAAAATTGTCCAAATTCAGTCGCTTCAACTACGATACATTTATCATAGTGGTAATTTTTGGATTACCTTTTTCTCTGAAATAGTGGAAAGAAACTATCAACTCTTATATTCTGAATAAGCAGATAAAAATATTAATTCTGAAATAAAACTGCAGCAATATAAAATTCTGTCCAGCTATATTCTGTTTTGCTTTGTTACAATGTGGAATTACAGCAACACAAATTTCTTAGCTATCAGATTTCACATAAAATGTCGGGTCTGAAGCACAGGCCTACACTTGCCAAGGATTCAGCAGTCAGCCTTGCAGGACCACTTCTTTATTCTTTTCCAAGAAGAATGCTTGCATTCCATCATCAAACTGGCAAGACTTTTTTTTTACCAATTTAAAATTATGTTCTCTCAGAAATTATTTTGTTTCTAGCTTAACAAAGCTCTATGAGAATATACATGCTTCAGAAATTTAAATCGATGGATTTTTCAAGTAAGGGAATTAGTACTTGTCCCAGCTTGACCAACAGCCATTTTGAGGATAACTCAATTCTCAAGGGCATAAGCCAAAATGATAGCACATTATATTTCCAGTAAGCTCTCATCTACCTTTACTTCATTCAAAAGCACTCTGCTGCTTCATCAGAGGCACTACAAAAACACAAGTCAGCTGATTGCTGGAAGCAGTAAAAATCAGCATGGCCAAATACTGTACAGCTAATTGATAGAAGCTTCTAAGAAGTCATACAGAATACCCTGACCAGCATGGCACTGAACACTGGGGTATTATGCACAGTGGTAAGATATGTGTTCTCAGTGTTGATCTTTGTGTGAGGAGGAAGGTCAGATACCTTCAGGATTAGTCACCTCCTGTGTGGATAAAACTCCTTTGTTTACACACTAGTATGCCTCACAGTTACCATTTTTCTGCGTGTTATGGCATGGTTGGCAAGGAAGGGATGAGCCGAAAGAGTTCTGATTAGTTAAGAAGAGGTATCGAAAACCATTGCTTGTTTCTAAGAATGAATCAACATGCTAAAAGCATCTTCACCATCCCTAACAGAAGCCATATCCATTCATTGTGTTACGTTAGCTAACAAAATTAGAGTTTTCCCATTCTTTCTCCCTCTTCTATTTCACAAAACTATCTACTGAAATACACCAAAGAATCTCTTTGTAAACCCAGACAGAAGTGTGAAAACGTTTGTGTTACAACTGTGATCTAACTGTATTGTTAACTCTTAGAGAGAAAATATTTTATAATCTAATATCCCAATATACTTTTTCAGTGTTTCTCACAGTCCCTCATAGTGCTCAATAAATACCTCTTGACTAATAGTTATCCGGGATTGACTATGTTGAAGAGATAAGGCAAAATAATAGAGAATACAGTTTGGGTGAGACAAAAGATTACTCATTAATGGTGAATCATTTGCCTTTACATATTCTTTTCACCTTCTTTTTCAAAGGTATTACTTAAATTTAACTGAAAATCATTTTATGCTTTATCTCATTCTATTCCCTTCCTGTAACAATTCAGACGGAATTATGACTGTATGGTCAGCAAGTTACCAAGCAAAGAGAAGACAGAGTAGAAAAGCCAGACAAGTAAGCAAGAATGTCTCAACATGTGTGAATCATTGTGTGAATGAATTTAAGTTAAAGGGAAAAGGATCCCAGTTGTGGGACTTACAGCACATCAACCTTAGGCCTGAAAATTAAAAGCTCCTCATATTACGTATTTGATGTTTTTCAAATGTAAAGAAATCAGACTACATAAAGCAAGAGTCCTTCAAACTATATATGCTACTACCTATTTTCAATCAAAAACTAGCTCTGTTTCCCTAAACAAGTGCATATTCTCACATTAGTCATTATTGAGCAGCACAAGTCTACTAATACCTTGAAACCTACTGAACACATAACAAAGTTTAAGGCTGCTCAGGTATTATGTAGAATTCAAGAAAATGTGATTCAGATTTCCCAGTGAACTCTGTTGCTATTGAATTCTCTTGCATTCAGCAGGTGTTAAGAGAATTTCCATAAACACACACATGTGCTAAACAGAATTTTACTTTATATTAAAAAACCAAAAAACAAAACAAGTCAGAAGCCACATCATAGAGAAAGGTACAAATTTTACACTGCCTTTCCCTCTCTCAAGTGTTGGGGAGGAAGAGCTGTTCTCTAAGTAGCAGAGGAAGGAGGTTATCTCTAAAAGAAAAGGATTCCTACTCAGATTTGGAACTGTTAGTCAGGGACTCTTTCTGGATATAGTTCTTCGAACTCACTCATTTACACAGAAGAAAATCCACATCAGAAATCTTCACATATACAAATATTTGACCTTTAGAAGTTCCTATCTCTCTTTACATAAAAATGTGTTATTACATTTACGTGCAAGAAGGGAAAACTTACCGAGAATGACTTAAGTATGAGGCTTGACGATGAATCTCTTCTGGGTCTATTTCTACTGGATTTATTACAGCTAGTTGATCAATAGACCATCTAAATTCTCCTGGAGTCTTAACAAAAGACAGTGAAATTATCAATAAAGCAAACTAAAAGTCTGTCAAAATGCTAACCAAGGTCACCTTCCAAATTAATGTGAGTGGGTATACTGCAATATAGAGAGTATTTTAAAACGTATGTTTTCAAATAATCAAATCACACAAAATCAACTGGCTTGACATATCTCTTCTAAAACATCTAAATCTTGTGTGATTTTAAAAAATCATGTAATACTAAGGGGAAAAAAATGACCAAAAAAAAAGGTATAAAATACCACAATCAATAATCAACATTGATATACCAAGCCCATGTGAAAATTAAAATATGTTATCAAAGTTCTTTCACTAAGAATGAACTGAAGTTAAACAAAGCCCTAACTACACAAATGGCTGCAAAAGCTCATAAAATAGTTAATTCTCAAAATAATGAGTGGTAACCAATGCTACCTTTCTATATTCAACTACTTAACATAATCAAAAGCTCCATCCAAATCCTAATTTGTAATGAGAAATACAACCTAGATAAATTCAGGCCTAAAATACAAGATACTGCAACACTGTAGCTTTGAGGGTTAAATTGCAGTCACTCCAGTATCAGTTTCTATTAAGACTAAAAAGATAACTAAACTTTAATACACTTCAATTAAAATTCATGGAGATCAGATTAATGATTCAATATAAACCAGGGATGGCTAACCTTTTAGAGTGAACTGCAACCCAAAACCCACTTATTTATCACAAAGTGCCAATACTCAAGTTTTTAGTTTACAAAAAACATCTTTTGTCTTAAAAGAAAAACACAGTAACAGAGCTTTCAATGATACAGCTTTTTATTTTTTGCTTTGTTTTTGGTACCAGGGATCGAACTCGGGACCTTGTGTTTGCGAGGCAGGCAGCGGAACCACTGAGCTAAATCCCCGGCCCCCATATACAGTTTTTTTATTGAAAGGTAAAAGTTTGCATTTGGCATGCTTTGCACATTTAATGTGATCTTTCCTGTTGTGTGCATGCTGATAATTTGTCAAACCTTGGATGGGGTGACTTGGCTCGCATCCACTCGTGCCACAGGTTCGCCACCGCTAATAGAAACTAGGCGATAGCTCAGTTTTCCCTTTGTGCATGCTTACTCACAGCTGATAAGAAAATGCAGTAGAAACAATAACCTGGTTTGCAGTTTTCCTAGATAACTAACTAGGTTAACAGATTAGAGTTCAAAAAGAACTTCTCCAGAGTAGCAAATAAAGGCAAGATTAATAAAAGTGATGAAGAACTTCTTTAATCTCCTAAAGACCACTTTCCCTTCCACATCACGTTTGTGCTAACCATTAATGATAGCACACATCGCTTGTATCTGTCCCACTAACTGAGGGATTGGCTTGTTTTATAACAGCCGGCAAACTAAGTATGGTTTTGACATTTTTAAATGGTTGACTCAAAAGAATCCTGATATTTCATTATGTGAAAACTGCATGAAATTCAATTTCAGTCCATAAATACAACTTTACTGGGCACAGCCACGCTGATTTGTTTACACACTGTCCATAACTTTTGTGTGTTTTTATTTTGTGTCTTTTAAATATTTATTTGTTTATTTTCATGGCTGCACTTTAGACACAAGGCAGAGTTAACTAGTCTGACAGGAATCAGATAACCAGCAAAGCCTAATTATTTCCTCTCTGGTCTCTAACAGAAAAAGTTCGCTGTTGCCTACAATGGAGTATAATAAGCTCTCTGAGAGTTTGTGTCTAGTGACTCTAACTTATAAAAGTTGTAATTGCTAAGCATCATATCTGATCCATAACAACACTCAATAATGTTTGCTGATCAAATTTGGATGACACAGGTTCTCTATATGGAATTACTAGACATATCTTCAACCACAGTATCTAACTACACTTACAACTACAATAAGCTAACATCTGTTACTTCTTCAATTCTAAGAAAGCAAAGACTAATTAGGAGCAAGAAGTGCTGGTATGATACTGCACAGTAGAATGACTACAGACAATAATGTACTGTGTATTTCAAAAAGTAGAGATTTAAATGTTTTCACCATAAAGAAATGGTAAATGTTTGAGAGAATAGATACTGGTGCCTTGACTGAAGCATTACACAATGTACACATTATCAAAAATCACAAGCTACCCATAAATATGTACACTTTTTATGTATCAATTAGAAATTAAATTTTTAAAAAAATGCTGGATTTTCTTCTGGCTTATTAGCGTAACTGCTTGATTATAATGAACACTACAATTTTAAAAAGGACATTATAGTTATACGTGTTCCATTTTCCCTTATCTCATAAAAATATTTACATTTTAAATTATGCTATTATTTCCATTTAAAATTAGGGTAAACACTAGTCAAAAATAACTTACTGGCAATTTTACAGATTTAAAAACAGAAGGACTGGCAACAGTTTGTTCATGGAGATTAGAATAATCACTTGGGCTTTCAAAAGGATTTAAGACAGGGATCCTTCCTGGAGTTTCCGGTGTTATCTGCATTTTTAGTTCTTTGACATCTCCCATAGTATAGGAAACAAACTAAAAAGAAATTAGAAGTACATATGTCAAAATTACAAAGTACCACAGCTATTGATTATGAAAACTGAAATATATACAACAAAACACATATTTCAAAAAAAATTAACTCAAAACCTAATGTTCTTGGGCTATTTTTATACTTTGCACACATTTTCTCAAGTGATCCTCGAAATAACCTTGAAAGCTAGAGAGGTAAGGTGTTAGTGCTATCATTTTGCAGAAGAATTAACAAACTCCCGAAGAGATTGAGTGGTTTAGAATTAGCCGTCAGCCAAATATGAGTGGGATCAGGCCGGCCTCTGAGGCATCTAAATGGTACAATGGGCACAAATCCAATGGAAGGACTTACATCTTCAGTTTTTAATTCAGTATCTCAAGACTCCAAAGTCTCCAAACACTATAAACATCTTTCGGATACTCCAGGAATTATCTACCAAGCGCCAACGATTCCTCGCAGCAAGCAACTCAGAGGTGAGAAGACTGGGCACAGGGTTCTCGCACTTTAACTCTCCCTAGGGAATGACTGACAGGGTCTGGAGTTAACTGCCCTCGCCTCTCCGCAAACACCCTCCTTCCGCCAAGCTCCCGCTGGGCAGAAAGATGGACTGCGTGACTTCCACAAGGCGGCACAACCCGAGAAAAAGAAGGATCCGTTTTTAAAGAATGAAGTCCAGCTGGCTTTCCTGGGCGGACAGCAGAGAAGGTGTTACCCCACTCCTAAGCGATCACTTCTAGGCTCCCCTCTCCTCCACATCTATTCCCTCGCTGCTCCCACTCAGCCCGGAGCGAGCGCGTAGGCAGGTTTGGAGCTGCGGAAACGAGCTCTCCAGTTCTAGGCAGGAAGAAAGGCCAGGAACCACAAGAACGTACCTACAGGTGAGTGCTTAAAGGAGGCCCTGAGTTCCGAATCCGGGCGCTCCCAGGGGGCCAGGCCAGCTCCCAAGACCGGCACAGACTCTTTAACTCCCCGCTTCCGCTGCTGTTTTAGACCAACCAGGACACCGGGCTGCCGGACGACCAGCCAATCGCGTCGCGCGGCTGTCCGCGAACTGACCAATCGCATCGCGGCGGCGGAGTAAATTCAAATGGCAACTCCTCGCTCTACATTCCGCGCCGAAGAGCGAGGCTCCAAATTCAAATCAACGCAGCCTCACGCCGGCGGCGAGCGCGAGGGGCGGAGCCTGGCGGCGTGTGCCGGGACGCGCGGCGGGGTTGCCCGGGAGAAAGGAAGGCGCTCCATTTCCGGGTCAAGTCCGGCTCCCGCCTCCCTCGGCGTGGGCTATGGCGAGCGGCGGTGGCGCCGGGGCGGCGGGGGCTGCGGCGGCGGCGAACCTCAACGCGGTGAGGGAGACCATGGACGGTGAGTGCCCGCTGCGCCCGCATCGCCGAGCCTCCGCTTCCCGGAGCCGAGGCCCGCCGGCCGGGGACCCCACGGAGGACTCGCCTTCCCCTTCCCGTCCGGATCAGCATCTCTGCGTCGCTTGGGAAGGCGCCGCCGAGCGGATGGCCCGGTTCCTCTTTTCTCCGCTCTCCTGCGGAGCTGGGCGCGCCCCGCCGACCGCGCCCTCCCGCGGCTGCCCGTTGCGCGCCCAGCACCCGCGCGCCGCCCCCCCGAGCCTCCGCGTGCAGCTGCTTCCCGGCGGCCCCGCCGCTGTCGCTACCCGGCTCGGGACGCTCTCCGGATCAAGCCTGGGCCAAACAGGGCCAGTGTGGGCTGAGTCACCGCCGGCCCTGGGCGCCGGCGCTTCAGCAGGTGCTGTTTAAGTATCTGGAGAATAAACTGATTGCCTGTGGTCACAGTTGCCCCAGTTTCATTTGGAACGGGTGACGCCAGTACCCTGGTGTCAGGGTTGTTGTCTCTTTTCGCTCCATGAAACAAGTAGATGAGTATCTTGGAGGTACCTTTTCTCTGCTTTCTAAAGTCAGTTCTGCCTCTTCATCCCTATGGGGTGAACTTGGACAAGCCCACCTAAGCATCTTTGATCCTACCCCCCCCCCGCTTGTATAAAACCCCATGTCTCAGGTTTATTGTGAGTACTTAAGACAACCAGGTAAAGGGATGCCTAGACAATCGGTTTTGTTTTTTTCCTATTAGTTGCCATCTCACTTGCAGACGTCTGTCCTTGTCTCCTTTTTACTTATATTCATCTATATAAGTTTTCGAGATGTTAAATATTGCCATTTGCAGTTCACCTTGACATTTTTCAGGGCTTTCCCACACCAACTTCTATCTCAAAAAAAGATAACCCTGTAGAATTTTCCCTAGGCAATGTCAGTCTGCTGCCCTGGTTCTCCACTGAGCATTGCACTTACAGTAGTAGATAGTCTCTCTAGATAGGAGCTTCTCATAAGTCTTTTGGATTCTTCTATACTGCCTGCAGCTTTCCTTTTCAAGAATTACATATGGTGTTTTCGCATCTAAACTTTATACTTAATCAGTGTCTACTTTGCTGTTTTTCTGAGAATTTTGTTAAGATTGCATCTAGCCTATTTTTCCATCCTTCTTGCTATCTCACCGTAGCTCATTTGTTTTATTTTGTAAATGGATATATGCACATAAAGCATGTGTATCCTTATAAACGCTTGTATCTTTCCTTGGAACCCAGAGTGTTTTTGAATAGGATGGGTAGTACCATGTGTCACTTCAGCCACTTCTCTCAAGACAGGGACTCACTATATTGTCTGGGCTGGCCTTGGACTACCAGTCCTCCTGCCTGCTCCTCCCAAGTAGCTCACATGTGTGACCTCCCAAGCTGGCTCAGCGAATTTTATATTACCTGTGCTTACAGTACTTATTTATATGGTCTTGACATCTCATTTCAGTAGAAAATTTCTATTATATTGATAATGGAATGTATCAGACCTCCAAGATGATGTAGGAATGATAATAGACCTCCAAATGATGTAGGGGAAATATTATAATTCCCAATCTGCTAGATGTCATGTATGCCGAGTTCATGTTCCCCAAAATCGAAGAATGAATTCTAAGCAACAACAGAGTTTGAGAGTAGGAAATATTTATTGAGATATACAGCTCCTGAGAGGCAGGAGGGGTCCCAAATGGGTTGCCAGGGACCCCAGTTTTCAGGGGAAGTTTGACAAAGCACAGCCATGTGGGTACAAGGTGGATTAAAGCTATGATCAGCCAGTAAGGTTACAAGTATAGTCACTTAGGTAATAGTGATCCAATGGGGAAGTGTACATGGAAAGAAAAAAGAACTTTTCCAGAAGGTGATGGGTCCAAAGGTCTTGGTCATCTCCCAAGGTAACATATCTATCTAGACTTCATTAGACCAGGTATTACCATTTATCTCATGTCTTGGGTAAGTATGTAGGCCTGGACATTTTGTCTTTATCTTGAGGCCTGGCCACAGTTGTAGTATGTTTTCGTCTCTTGCACTGAGTCAAGGGCTCATCCCTGTCTGACTTCCTGTACTATTTCTATCTAACTTAACTATCTATAATAATATGTCTGGTGAAACTTCTTACAGATACATGAGAACTAGTAGTTTGCATTGGTTGCATCATCAAGAGATGAGGAGAGGGGCCGGGGATTTATCCCAGTGGTTCCACCGCCTGCCCTGCAAGCACAAGGACCCGAGTTCGATCCCCGGTACCAAAAAAAAAAAAAAAAAGAGATGATGAGAGAACTGGTGTGAATACTGAGTATAAAAACATGAAAAATTGAAGACCAGAGGGTTTTTTTTTAATTGAAGGAGAGTATATGTGGGTTTTTATTGTATTTAAAGCAATCTGACAGCCAGTATGACAAATTTTTGAGTCCTATTTCTCTCCTCAGTAGCATCTTTTGTCTACCCCTGTGTATTTCTCCTTGTTTTCCCTTCCATCGATATTAGCTATCAGTGATTTAAACTTTTAATGGATGCCAGTGGTTTGGAAGTTGCAGAATTCAGTTGTAAAAATTTTTAATTTTAATCATGAAATGAAAGGATTTTGTTAAAGATACTTCACACATGGGAGGAAGCAGGTAGCTTTTGCCATTTCATCTGCATACTTTGAAAGGAACCTTATGTATCCCAGCCCTGATGTAAAATAAGATCTGTTGCATAAAGTCCTCTGCTCTCATTCTTAGAGCTTCAATGTTGTCACCTGACATTTCTTCTTAAAATACTCAGGCCTTTTCAATTACCCTCTCCTTTACTGTACTTAGTTGCCTCTTGCTTTTAGACATTTTGAAATCTAAAGAGTCTGTTGCTATCTGCATACTTTTTAAGTTTTTTCAGTCTAGAAATTTCCTTACAATTTAATCTAATTTTAGTAATATAATTCCTCTATTAAAGAGAAAGAGACCACCTGGGCAGACATTGTGTGAGCAAAGAGGCTATTTATTCACACGTGCATGCCCATGAGTAGGCTGAGTCTGGAAAAGGGAACACAGCAGGGAGCAAGCAGAGAAAAAAGAATGTAAAGGGAAGGGGAAGGTTGAGAAATTTGGGCAGATAGAGTGGGATCATGCTTCCCAGGGTGGGCTGTGGTTGCAGATGTCATGAGGCTTTCTGGAACTGCAGTGGCTGGGACATGATTTACTATCCTTGTTCTTTAAACCTTCCTGCACATCCACCACCAAGGCTTGTTGGCGTCTAGGTCATGCTCAGCGCTGCACTCCCACCCCCAAGATTGCCATGGAGATGGTGCAAGTTCTGGTCCATGAGGTTGCCTTACCTGCCAGGCATGACAGTCTCATCTTTTTGTTATAATGAAAAGGGGGAGTGTAGGGGAAGTGGGCACTGTTTCTCATGGCTGCTTCATGCAGGACATATGGGTGATATGGACACATGGGTGATATGGACACCTTCATCAGGAGAGAGATCTTAGGGAATAGGGGTATATCAAGGAGTGGTCAAGGTCAGCATCTGCCTGTTTGTGATTTCTTGTATGTAATCTCTTGTACATGATCCTTTAAAAATTGTGAGAGAAGTCTGAGGAGGCATGGCCCAGAGAGAAGGAGAATGATGCAGACAAGAGGTCCAGTTAATGGAAGAAGCCATGAGCCTCAGCTTTAAATATTGGTCCATATGTTAGACAGGCATTGTCTAATTTCTGAAGCCCTTTTAGTTTGCCCTTTTGTATTTTGTACTGTGTCTGACTGGTTGGTATAAAAGGAACATTTTGTCTTAGGAAGATATATAAGCTGCTTTTTTGGTGGTGAGAGGATCTAAGTCCCTATGATTTTGGAAGATTATTGCCACCAGTGAGTCTGTCTGGTTCTGTAAGTTAAGGTTGGAGCCAGCTATTTTTTTGAGGCTGTCAGAAAGATCTCGGGAGAGGGAACAATAGCAGGTCAGGGAGAATAGGTCCCTACATTGTCAAATTGGGGTTTTAATGGTGATAGGCAAGTTGGGGAGAGAAAGGGGAGTAGAGGGAGGGATATCTTCCATGGAGAACAGAGAAGTAATGAGAGCAGCAACAAGGGCATCTCCATCTGGGACTCAGGGCCATAATGGAGTGTGGGTAAGTGACCAAGGCAGATGTCTCCACAGTTGGCCAGACACCAAGAGAAGACAGTTCTTCCTGGGGAGTGTCATGTGACCAGCACTGGGTTTAAATGGCATAGAAAATGGAATGAGCCTCTCTTGGGCAAGAGGACAGTAGGAAGAGGAAGGGAACCTAATCAGGATGAGAGTGAGCAAAGGACTGGAGCGTGGAGCCCTGAGCCTGAAACCAAGTAAGATTAAAGCAGATTGAACAAAGGAAGTGGGTGAAGTGGTAGGATAGGCAGGGGCAAGACATTTCACTGTCTTCTGGAATTAGGGTTAGCCTGGGGGAAGTAGAGAAGATTACTTTCATTTTTACAGGAAGGAGTCAGGTGAGTTATCAGCAGGACACACAGCTCTCCCTGAAAGCAATGTCCCCACTGGGAAAAGTCTCAGAGGAACAGCTGTCAGGATTTGGCTGTCTTTATAAGATTGGGTGTCAGAAGACAAGAGGTTAGCAGCATATCAGATCTTTTCTGGCTAGTCCTGAAAGATAGTCCTTGATGGGACAGGCCTCTGGCTAAGGTTTGGCCTGAGCAGAAAGGTACGGCCTATAACAGCTTAAATGGACTGCATCCTGTAGGTTCCCAAGGTTGGCTTGGATGCAAAGAAGAGTGATTGGGAATAGGGAAGGCTAGTCTTTATGGAGCTAGAGTGTGAGCTTAGTGAGGTGAGTCTTGTCAGGGCAAAAGGCTCAGGATGGGGCTCGGAAGCCCTCCAAGGAGGGTCACCCCATCTTAGGTTTTGGCACCAGATGTATTAGAAAGAGACCACCTGGGCAGACATTGTGTGAGCAGAGAGGCTGTTTATTTTGCATGTGCACACCCACAAGCATGCTGAGCCTGGAAAAGGGAACCCAGCAGGG